TAAGGTTCAAATTGATTTTGTGGTTATGGTGGGATTTACACTAAAGGACATAAAGTTATTACACATCCCTAAAAACATTTGTGAACATAACACAAGATTAATGTATTTATCAACCAACACGCCACGCAACATCAAGACCCTAATGTAAAAAAAAATTTGTAGTGTAATGCACACTTTGATCTAGCTTTTTACTCTTTTGTCTTCTAAATAAATTTATTCTTTCTAATTTAGCACTTTAAATCCTCCAAATAAATTAAAATTTTACTTAAGCAATTTATTTTCAAGAGTAAATTTCTAATTTAGCAATTTATTTGTTGTCTTTGAAATAAATTTCTCTTATATAATTTAAATTTCTCTTATCTAATTTAGCAATACATATTTTTTTGTTTTATTTTATCTCGGTCGGCTCAAAATGACGAAAGTGAAAGTACCAGAAGAATCGACAGACAACATGCCATAGTGGATAATGGCGAGTTTGCGCCTCCGCATCAATTGACGAAGAGAAACGTTATTGTCGCAACTTCATTCCGCACCCTCTCCATCGACTTGATTGCCTCTGTCTTCCTTTGTATTCATATGAAAAACGAATGTGGAAGAGACAGTGTATTGGGAGTCTTTGTTTCACCAACGTGATTTCTACTCTTCCAAAATCTTCATCGCCTCATCCGCCACTAATTAACAGAGATCTCCATAAGGTTGAACGCAGACTTTATATAATTGGAATTTCAGGTAGAAGGAAAAGAAACTCAAACGACACACTTTCACTCAAAATATTTTTCTCTGATCTAAATTCCATAGGTACATTTTTTCTGCAATATGAACGATCCAAATTTTATAATACCATTTCATTCTTCAACTTGATTGATATCCCTAGCTCTTAGGCCACCTCCATCCATGTAAATATATTTTAGAATATCTACAGAATATAATACTATTTTTTTAATTTTAATAAATCAAATAATTAAGTAGAAAAAGGTAAACCTATAATAAATGTGCATGTGACAAAAAAATATTAGATACGTGTCTTATATCTCTTAAACGAGAGACATTCCTCCTTTCCCTCTCTTCTTTTATGTTGATTTTTTATTTTTTAATATTATAAACTCCTCCTACATACGAGCGATGGAGGTGCTCTTAGACGTTATAATTCTGTTTTTGCCATTATGGGTTTATGGTTAATTAAGATATCTCAAATTATGATAAATTTAACACACTCTTGTCAGAGAGCTAAAACGGGATGATCAAGTTCTTTTTCTTCTCTTCTCATGTCTCAAATTACATACATATATATGTGATTTGGAACAATTAGATGTTTGTGAAATGGAAATGTTGTGATGCTTGATTTGAGTAGGTTAGAGGAATTATGGATTTATGGTTTTTGGAGAAATTGTCCACAAACTATCGCCTGATTCATAGACTAATTTTTAGTGTAAAATGAGAAAAGAATAACAAAAGAATATGCATAAAGAGTTCTTGTGTTTATAAAAGATAATTTGTGAGGATTGTTGTGGTTTATTCTGCAATTTGACTCCAAGTTTAATTAAATGTGTTCTTTAGCTAACTTAGAGAGCTAAGGGTGTTGGGTTCTCCATGGTCGTTATCTTATTCAGAAACTTTTTTTTTGGTCACGAAAAGCTTTTTATTAAAGATCAAATAGAGTTGATTTGGTCACGAAAAGCTTTTTATTAAAGATCAAATAGAGTTGAGAGCTCGAAGAGCCTATTTGACTAAGGAGTCAGCCAATACATTTTTCAATCGTGGAATGAATCCTATTGAAAAGGAATTGAACAAAGGTAAAATGGCTCGAATATCACAAAGGATGAAAAAGATTTCAGAATGTGATTCTTCAGAGCGAAACAAATGGACAAGCGTCTTTTTGTCCGAGAAGATTTGTAAGTCGAATCTTTCATGCTCAATTGCATTCTTTAAGGCAGCAAGGACCGCTAGTGCTTCAGCAACTAAGGCCGAAGCGACTAGGGTCATAACTTCTGAATCTGCGAATGTAATTGTCAGCTCAGAGTTTGAAGTCATATACCATCATCCTAAACCACAGTTGAGTGATTTCGAGTCCCAAGCACCATCAATGAAGCAAGAGAATCCGGTTGAGTTTTTGGGGGCCATCAACTGATTTTGATGTGCATGTCTTGGATTTTTAAGATGTGTTTGTGCCGATTGCCAAGATTTAGCCTCCAAGATAGCTTTGAGGAGAACCTCATTAGGCGTATACCTAATATCTTCAAAAATCTCTTTGTTTCTTGCCGTCCATAAGAACCAGAATATCCAGGTGAATAGGTGAGCCTCGGATATGCCTGAAGGTGGTAGACAAGAAGTTTGTTTAGCCGTAGAGTTGAACTGCATAAGGGGTCCATCATGTGAGGTTAGATCTGAGGCTATAGGGGCTGCAGCCCATACTTGTTGAGCAAAGTTACAGTCCCAAAAGATGTGTAGGACTGTTTCCAGAGCTCCACAACGTTTACAGACATGGTTCACTTGGATTCTCCTTCGTTGCAATTGTTCTCCTAAG